GGCACACTCCTGCCAGTGCGGGCAGCGGGCACACTCCTGCCAGTGCGGACAGCAGGCACATTTCCTGCCAGTGCGGACACACTCCTGCCAGTGCTGGCAGCGGGCACGTTTCCTGCCAGTGCGGACAGCAGGCCCGCGAGGGGGCCTCTCAGGGGCACGGCGCTGAAGCAGCTGACCTGGGAGAAACCACACTGGAGTAGGCGGAGGTTCCTGACCAAGGGCCGGTCTGGCCGTGAGGGGGGAGGGGGTCCCAAAGCAGCCGCAGGGCTGCCCCAGACTTGGCCCGGGGCCTCGGACCACCTGCGCGCCCCCCATCCAGGGCCAGTGGGGTCTGGAGCCCTCTGCCCCTCCCTCGGCACATGGGCGTGGCCGCCACCCAGTGCCCCGGGCTCACTCGGCCTCTCAGCGAGAAGCCCTCGAGCCAGGCCCTGGAGGCTGGGTGCCGGCCCCTCCGCCCCCTGCACACGGAGACCTCGCCGAGGGCCGGGCTGTGCGCCGCCGCTGGGCCCCGACTCATGTGGAGGCGCTTTTACAGCGGTTCCCAGCCTTCTGGCCCTTTAATTACAGTTCCTCATGTTGTGACCCAACCATAACATTATTTTCGTTGCTACTTCATAACTGTAACGTTGCTACTGTTATGTAATGTAAATATCTGATCTGCAGGATGGGCTTAGGCGACCCCTGTGAAAGGGTCGTTTGACCACCAAAGGGGTCGCGACCCACAGGTTGAGAACCGCTGCTTTAGAATGTCCTCCAGGGGGAGGCGTGCAGTCTCATTCATTTGTCTCCGGTTCCATTTTCAAAACTTAAATTGAGCCCTAGCCGGTTTGGCCCAGTGGATAGAGCGTTGGCCTGCGGACTGAAGGGTCCCAGGTTCGATTCCGGTCAAGGGCATGTACCTGGGTTGCGGGCACATCGCCAGTAGGGGGTGTGCAGGAGGCGGCTGAGCGATGTTTCTCTCTCATCGAAGTTTCTAACTCTCTCTCTCCCTTCCTCTCTGTAAAAAATCAGCAAAATATTTAATTTAAAAAACCTTAAATTGAGCTTTGGTCACCAATGTGACTTCGGGCTGTCTGCGCTCTGCGCCCCTGAGATCCCGGAACAGGGTGGAGGCAGGAAGAGAGGTACCGGCTCCAGCCTCCCTGCAGCACCTCCCTTCCCGCTGCCAGCAGCCCCTCCGGACCCCACGGCCCAGGCCTCTAGCGTGGCAAAGTCCCCAGGGCCGCACCTGCGGGCTGACTGAGCGCACCGGCCTCCCGCGTGGCAAAGTCCCCAGGGCCGCGCCTGCGGGCTGACTGAGCGCACCCAGGCTTCCCGCGCCTGGGCCCAGAGCGCCTTCCACAACACCCCCCCCCCCCCCCCCCCCGCCCAAGCTCCCAGCTCAGGCCAGAGCGGCCGTGCAATCCCGGAGAGCCGGGGCGGGGCGGGCAGGGTCAGGGCGGTCAGAGACGCAATGAAGGTTCCCGTCAGCTGTACATTGAAAAGGAGAGTACATGGGGGAGGGGCCGCTCTCAGAGGGTCAGCAGGTCAGAGAGAGGAGTCCCATGTCCCACGGGCATCGGGCAGCAGCAGGCAGAGGGAGGGAGGCTCGGGGCTTAGCCACCAGGACTGAGCCCCACAGCCCATGCTCTGGGCACGCTCACTCCTGCGGGGAACCGCGCCCTCCGCCAGCTCGCTTCCTGGTGACCACCTCCTGGGAGCAGTCATCCGGCCCTGCATGGGGCAGTGACTGCACACAGACCCCCGGGGAGCCGGCCAGCCTAGGCACAGGGCACGTGCTCCCAAGCCCCTGCACACAGAGGGGTGCAGGGCTGCTCCCCAAACCCCACATCCCCACTCCTCCTGAACAGTGTGCAGCCCACAGCTGGGAGCTGCCTGCCCTGGTCCCCCCACCACCACTTGCAGGCCCATTTCCACAGCAACAACAGGAACTGTGGGTGCAGAGGTGAGGGCATACCCCCCTCAAAGCTGCCCCCCCCCCCCCCGCGTGAGCCCCCCCTTGCTCACAGCAGCAGGACTCAATTAGCCAAAAAGTGGCAGCCGGGCAAACAGCATGTGGCTCCACACACAGTGGAATCTTTTCGGCCTTAAAAAGGACGCAAGTGCTATCTTTTTTTTTAGCAAGCTCTATTTTTAATACTTTTCAAAGTGCGCTTAGTTTATTTCCCCAGCTTTGCTGAGCTGTCACTGCCCTGCGACTGAGAGGGTAGGTGCACCGCGTGATGCTCTGATACACGCGTGTCCTGTGAAATGACCGCCCGACCACCTCGCGCTACCCTCTGCCACTCCCACGGGCGCGCTGCTCGATGCCCTGCGCTCCGTGCCCGCAGGGCCGGCCGGCCCGGCACAGCCTGGCCCCAGGTGGGGGCTGGGCTCTCAGGCGCCAGTTCTCACTTCTTCGAGCACTGCCCGGGCCACGTTCACGCCACTTGCGAGCCCAGGAGGTGAGAACCAGGCTCACGGACAGGCCGGCCGGCCGTGGCCACATCTGACCACTTGCTCCCACGCCGGCCTCCACGGCCCGCCCACCCGAGGCGCCCGCCGTGCATCTGGGCGGAGTGTCCACTCCCACCCCCGGCGGCGCCTCATCGTGCAGAACAAGTTCGCCCGCCCCGGCCCCCTCCACGCCAGGAGGTAACACCTCCGGTGCCTGCAGGGCTCTGTGTGCAGAGGCCGGCGCGAGCCTGAGTCCCGGGCAGGTCCCCAGGACCCCCCAGGGGACAGGAGTCCAATGGCCCGATGGGGGGTGGCTGCTGGGCGCGAGGCCTGAGAGAGCAGCCCCTCCCGGCGGCCCCGCACCCCACCCCACCCCCGGGGCTTACCAGTGTGAGCGCAGGGCGTTCAGGGCCAGGATGACCCCGCCCAGCGCGTAGCAGGCCACGTGGGGGGAGCCCAGGGCTCTGCTCAGCTTCCGGGTCCTCTGCTCCCATCTCGCCACCTGAATGGGGAAAGAGAAGCGTGAGAGGTGCTGGGAGGGCCCGGGGGCGGGAGGAGGCCGGGTGCCCGCACGTCCTTAGTCCTGTCTGGGGGGGCCCACAGTCTGCTGGAAGCAGCCTCTGCCACCGACACCCGGCTCCTCCCTCCTCCAGGCCAGCGCCAGGCCCAGCTCCCCGCCGCGGTGGGCGAGGGGCAGGAGAGGAGCTGCTGAGAACAGATGAGGGTCCCCCAGAGGAAGCAGGCCCAGCCCCCTCACCCCCCCTTCCCCCCGGGCAGGGCCGAGAAGGGGCGACCCAAACCCCCACCCCTGCTTCCCCAGCACCTCCAGGCACAGACTTTCAAGCTCTCAATTTTGGGGGGCAATCCTCACCCAAGGATATTTTTTGCGTTGATTTTGTTTTAGAGAGTGGAAGGGAAGGGAGGAGAAAGAGAAGCATCGATGTGAGAGAGACACATCCATTGGTTACCTCCCAAACTTGCCCGACTGTAGCTGGGGATCCAACCCGCAACCCAAGTACATGCCTTTGACAAGGAATCGAACCCAAGACCCTTTGGTGCGTGACTGGCACTCTAACCATTGAGCCACCATTTTTATTTTATTTTTTGAACCAATCACATCTACAGTCAACCTTCAACAGTGAGCAGGGGAGCAGGGGGAGCGGGCAGCTCTGCAGCACCCTGCTGCCTCCGTGGTCGCCAGGCCCTAGCGCGCACCCAGCACCGCCACGCCAGAGGCAGACTGGGCTCGGGCAGGGAGCGCGGACAGTGCCAGCAGGAGCTGCGGGAGGAGCGGCTGAGAGAGGACAGGGAGACGAGGCCGCACTCTGATGACGGGGCCAGTCACCTGGGTGAGGTAACATCCTCACACACGGAGAGTCTCGAAGGCCGGCAGGGCTCCTGGCTCCTGGGACGCTGCAGGACAGACCCCGGGCTCGCTCTCCACTGTGGCCTTAGCACCAATTCTGCCTGCTGCCTGCTCCGGGCTGGGCTGGGCTGCCCCAGTGGACCTACCCTTCTGGGCGACTAGTCAGCGGGGAAGTGACTGGCGGCTCCAGGCCCACAGTGATTTGGCCCCAGCGGCGGCTCCCACCTGTCCTCGGACTTCCTGAGGCGTAGCCAGCGCAGAGGGGCCTTTAGGCTGCAGTTTGCGGGAGAAGTGGGTGAGGGGCTCCGGGCTTCCCCTCCGCACGCCTCTGCTGTTGACACTGCTGCCCAGTCTCCCTGCGGACCAGCCTCTGCCCCCGGAGCTCCGTTCTCGGGAGAGGGGAGGGCTCGAGAGCCACGGCCCTGCACGTGGGCCACAGGGACCAGGACCACAGACTTCACATTATGGCCTTTACACGTTTTTTGAAATAAAATTTCAGAGTGGTGTTTAGTTGTGCAAGCATCACTACGGTCTAACTCCGGACATTCCATCAGCCCACACACGCTCGTGCCGTGAGCCGTCCCCTGCTCCTCCCGCCTCTCTTCTCCTTCCGCCTATTCTGGAAGCTTCGTATAAACAGAATCACACAAGATGTAACTTCTGACCCTGGCCTCTTTTACTAACACTTTTGGTTTGGGTTCATCAACGCTGCGCATTGCCAGCACTCCATTCCTTCTGATGACTGAGTCCCCTTCATGGTGTGAGCGCTACCTTTTCCCAGCAGTGCCCATTCGGCAGTGCACAGGCACGGGGTGTCCTCCTTTCGGCTCCGACGGATAGTGCTGCCGTGAACACCCAGGTGCAACGTTTTGTGCGGATATTCGTTTTCATTTCTCTTGGGTGCACATCTCAGAGTGGATTGCTGGGTCACATGATACATCTATTTCTAACTTATTGCAGAACTGCCAGGCTGGTTCCTCCCTCGGCCGCACCATTTTGCATTCCCACCAGCACTGTGCAAGCATTCCCATTTCTCCGTGTCCTTGCCGACACTTGTTATTTCCATTTTTAACTGTAACCATTCTAGGGGGCGTAAAGTGGCAATCACCGTGGCTTGGCTTTGCATTTCCCTGTTGACTAAGATGACATTGAACATCTTTTCATACACCTATTGGCCATTTACAGATCTTCTTTGAAGAAAAGTCTATTCAAGTTCTTTGCCGTTTTTTTAAATTGGGTTGTCTTTTTGTTCTTGAGTTGAACAAGTTACTGAGACAGATAGTAGATCTTTATCAGATTCACGTATCATTCACAGATATTCCCTCCTATTCGGCGGGAGTCTTGGCCTTTTTATTTTGATGGGCCAATCTGTTCCACCCAACTCAGCAGGTCTTCCTCCAGATCTGCTGGTGTGTGCTTGCCCTGTGGCTAAGAACATTCCCATCAGCTGCGTAGAAGCTCCACGCCCACTGCCACCATGCTCCACCTCCCACCTCTAGTCTACTTCTGCTCCTCAGCGAGGACACGGCCAGGCTGCCTTCCGGGCCGAGCGCGCCAGGATAATACATGGCGGAGCTTCCATCTGTGTGCCTGTCCCCGTGGCACACGGCCTGGCCAAGCGGATTTGCATTAGAGCAGGAGGTATCTGGGGTGGTCAAATGCAAGACAGTTGTGCGGCCTCTGCAGGTTCCTCTGAAGGTCCCTGGAAGACAGCCACCCTCCGGGGCGCTGGCCCAAGAAGTGCAGGCCCTTTCAGAGCGACTGCCCATCAGAAAAGACAAGCAAGTACACCAATGGGAAGACATAAAATAACATCTTGAGACAAAGGACAATGGGAATAAGACATACCGACATTTATGGGCCACAGCAAAAGCAGTTATAGAGGGAAGTTCAGCCTTGGCCGGTGTGGCTCAGTGGTAGAGCGTCTGGCCCGCACACCAAAGGGTCACGGGTTTGATTCACAGTTAAGTCACGTGCTTGGGTTGCAGGTTCATCCCCCTCCCTGGTTGGGGTGTGTGCTGGAGGCAACCAATGCATGTATCTCTCTCACATGATGTTTCTCTCTCCCTCTCCTTCCCTTTCACACTCTCTAAAACTCAATGGAAAAAATATCCTCAGGTGAGGATTAACAAAAAGAAAAAAAGAAGGAAGTTCATAGCAATACAGACCTATCTCAAGAAAGAAGAAAAATCTGAAATAAACAACCTAACTTTTACCTCAAGGAACTAGAAAAAGAAGAACAAATAAAGTCCAAAGTTAGTAAGAAGGAAGGAAATAACAAAGGTCAGAGCAAAAATAAATTTAATATTGTTTCATAATGATATATAATCTTTTGGGACAAGTATGTTTGACAACTTAAAAAAAAAGACTTTTTTAAAACCTGGGAATGGCTTTGGGTTGTTCCAATGGGCCCCTGGGATACCTCAGAGGATTTGTTCCCTCCTTGCAAAGAGAAATTTTAAACGAATTAGACCCATCTGATATGCTTAGTGACACAGGGCCCAGCAAGTGTGGCTCAGCAGGTGAGCACAGGCCTGTGCACCAGGAGATCCCCAGCTCTATTCCTGGTCGGGGCATATTCACCCATCTAGCCCTCGTCCCTCATCCATCCATCCATCCATCCATCCATCCATCCTCACACACACACACCTATCCATCCATCCTCACATCCACCCAACCAACCACTCATTCACCCAACATTTACTGAGGAATCTACACAGGCCAGATATTGTGCTAGACAGTAGAATATTTTGAAAAGAAAATGGAGGAGGGCAGAAGCCATAGGAAGCCATTCATGACAATGGTGCTTGTTTTTATGTAAAATAGGCAATTTCCTGGTGCTAGTTAAAGCCCAGGATGCCCTCCTCCCTCTGGATGTCCACAGGACAACAGCCTGGAAGCACCTCTCCAAGCTGTGAAGTTCTTTTCTGGAAACATCTTCCTCTTTGCCACTCAAATCTCCAATATATCCTGGAAGTGACAGCTGTGAGAGCGGGCTCTTTAATATACCACGGGGAGGGGACAGCGGCTGCTTCCTCTCATTGTATTGCATGACTAATTGTCGGGCATCTGCCCGGGCACCGCAGGTCCTCGGCTCAGCACCAGCTCCTCTACCTACCAGCTCTGTGACCCTGAGTGGATCACTTCGTCTCTCTGTGCCTCATTTTCTGACTTGTAACCTGGAGCTAACAATGCCCCTCCCACAGGGTTGCTGGAAGCATTGGTGAGTTAACGCAGGGAAAGGGCTCAGAGCCCGTCCGGAGCGGCACTCAGGTGCTGGGGCGCTGTGTGCTTCCTCTCTGGTGTAGACAAGCGGGTGCGAGTTGAGAGGCATAAAGCAGCCCTGGCTGCTGGCCTGAGAGAAGGTCTGGTGTGGACCAGCGTCCTGGGAGAGGACAGACACCTGGGTTACGGGGTACCCACTGTCTGCACTGCCAGCCTCGCCCTGGCAGCCCTCTCGCTCCCATGGTCACCCCGCTCAGCGCCAGCGGCCCCACAGCCGAGCCCTTCCCATGGCCCACAGCATCCTCACTCAGGGCCGATCCTTGCCACCTCCCACCGCTGGGCAAGCAGATGATCAGTTCAGAGGGGCGCCCAAGGCCGCCCCTGCAGTGAACTCACGGCTGGACTCAATTGCCTGGGAGTGGGTCCCCAGAAAGAAGCCAGGGCCCCAACCTCCTGGAGACCTGCACCAGCTGCCCATCCCCGACCATCGGAGGCCCCGGCACTGCACAACCTATGACCCCAGGTCGGGCACATCACAGTCGCTAATCAGTGCTGAGGCGGCATGTCCATCACTCACACCTGCTGCGTTAGGAAAGGAAGGAAGGTCTCAGATCTGCCTCAGCTCCCACCCAGACTAAAGAAGAGAAATGACACCCACATAAGTACCATAAAGTTTGGAGTGGACTCAATGAAGTAGAAAATATAAAAACAAGCCGAAACCAGTTTGGCTCAGTGGATAGAGCATCGGCCTGTGGACTGAAAGGTCCCAGGTTCGATTCCGGTCAAGGGCATGTACCCTTGGTTGCGGGCACATCCCTGGTGAGGGGTTTGGAGGGGGCAGCTGATCGATGTTTCTCTCTCATCGATGTTTCTAACTCTCTATCCCTCTCCCTTCCTCTATGTAAAAAATC